AAAACGAGTAAATTTAGCCTATTAGAGAAGCGACTCTGTCGATGCTACATAGTTCAGCAGTCAATAAATAATGCTTAACTCCGCTCTAGTTTATGTTTGGCTTCTTCTAATTTTTATGTGAATGAAGTTTATCAAGTACATAATTTTATTGTTTTTCAGTTTAGTAGACCAATGCATATCTAAATTAAGACACGTTTATGTTTGCAAACATCTCTCAATCCTAGACATTTTACGCTTGAGTTTTTTCTCAAGTTTTATTAGGCTAAAAATAAAGAAATTGAGAAGTGGGATTTTGTTTCCTGATTTTTTTTAATTAACAAGTTTCAGTAGACATTTTTCATTATGTTGTTATAAGAAAACTGTTTTTTTTTGATAATCCATAAATTTTAATCTAATGTTATTTAAGCATATGCTTTGGAGAAACCTAACATTCATTGTTAAAGTGTTGAATTAGGCAATTGAACATTTACGGATGGATCAATAAATCATCATACAAGCCATCGGGCTGTCGTCAATAGTTTAAGCTCTTTTTGGTATGCTCGTCTCTAGGTTCGGTTAAAACTATTATGGGTTCACCTTAGTCTAATAACAAGAACAAAACAATGAACCAGCGTCCAGGTAGGCTACTGTGATCCCTTGACCAAATTGTATCAAGAAGTCTTGATATAGGGTAGAAAGTGTATTCTACAAACACCCAGCCAACACACAATGAATGGAAGCACACAAATCGCGTTTATTTATACTCCATCGAGACGTCTTAGGGAGAGTCACAAAATGACACACTAAAATGACACAGTAATCAATCACAGCCAAGGATTTTCCTGGTGGGAAATGTGATCTCATGGTCAACCGATCGGTCCATGAAATAAATTCAAAATAAAGATATTTATCAAGCGAGTTGTTGGGGATCTAACATCCCTAACACTTTTCTTTGTAGATGTTGTTATAGTTGTGGTGGTGTTTGGATCTCTGAGCTGGATGTTTTGGTTGTGGAGCTTTCATTGTTTTTGTCAACAACGTCATCAGCACAAACTTCAGATAGAAGTGAAGCATTCGAATTTCTGCACGTTTGACCTGTAGTTTGTTCTGCCAACCTCGATCTTGATTGGTTGCTGTTAAACGACAGGTTTATTGTCCTTACTAAGTTTCTCTGTTTCTTTCTGAACTGCATTATGTTGTTTAAGCTGAACCTTAGTCATGGCAACAGCCATATTGATTTGTTCTTCCTTTGATTGTGTTGCTCGCATGGACTGGAATTGTGCATTTTGATTGTGAATTGAAGTACTCTTCCAGAACTGGAAACATTCTGTGTTATAAAGCAACCAAATATCATCGGTCGAACGAATCTGATCTATCCAGAAAGGATAAATAATATTTATTTGTTGCTATTGATTTGATTAATTGAACAATTTTTGGTGGAATAACTGAGTGGTAATATTGTTTGGGTAATGATGTACGTTTATATTTATGATAAATATTAGGACCGTCATTTATCCAAATCACTTGTTTTAGTGTTAAACTGGTCAAGGCTTTTATCTAAACTACCTGGACAGTTATTCCTCAGTCCAAACCTCAGTTTAGATCCTACTTTTGCTGATAAACGTTTCTATAACAATGATAAAACTGTGGGAGAAATTCGGTTATTGTTATAGAACAAAAGTTCATTCGTTATATTTTGTAGGTAAATTTCAAATTTCAGCATAACTGTAATCTCAATCGTTTTTGTTATTGGCAAAATAACTTAGTGCATACTGTGGACTTAACATTTTTGAAGTTAGATAAACAGGTCACAGTTAAGGTCAAACATTGTACGATATTCCTGTAAATTATAGATTAGAAATCCCATCATTCAAATAGCAAACTAGAAAAAAATAAGAAAATTATGGGAAATTTCATCGTAGATATCTATCCTATGCTGCGTACGTAATAAAATAAAATGAAACGATGATTCAGTTTTTTGAAATTATGAATTGATCAATGCTAGACCACAATTAGGAACCTGGAGGCACTGGACGGCCTTTTCATCTCGATCGTCCAGTGATTCCAGGTTTCCAATGGTAGTCTAACATTGATCGATTCATGAATTCAAAAAGTAACTAAACAACCTCCACAACCCCATAACGCAGATTCAGTTTTTATTGTCAGACAGAATATGTTTTGGCAGTATTGGGCTATGAATTTCAGCAAATTCATCGAACTATCTAGGTAAGGCAACCAATTCACGCATATGGAAGGTATCAGCTGCAAACAATGGAAGTTTGTCGCACAATATCATGGATTAACTGAGGATAGACTGGGTTTGGATGCAAGCTCGTGGACCCTGCTTGTTGAAGAGTTTCATATATGAATAAAATGGTTATCCTGTGCTTCAAGTTTTCAATAGTTGTACGGCTTATGTCAGTTTGTGATACAAATTGAAATATAGTTTGACGGTTGATGTAACAACTGGCCTTCATTACGTAGTAGGTTAAGGTAAATGATTAACTTTAATTGATTTTTAAGAGACGCTGTTTACTAATGTGGATTCCCTTACATTACTGATTCGACTCTAAGGTTTATTGTATGTAAAGTGCTTGCAACTATATTATTTGAACTATTATTTAGCCAATGATCTAGTACTCAACTGCTTATAGGGAAATGTGTCTAGTAATAAAATTATTTTATATACTGTCAATTTAGAACTAGTTTAAATTCTGCCATGTTTTGAGACAATACTGATCAATTCATTGTCTTGAAATGCCAGTCGGTTCCACGTGTTTTTAAGACTCAGATTATCAGTTCACTTACATTACCAGTAGGACTGACGACTTTCCATTTGGCAACTGACACATTGACAGATGAACAACAAAAGAGTAATGGTTATTATTGGTTTTCGAGATCCATCTTAATTCTTATTATTCATTGGTAATATTCACGTTCATTTATGACTGTGTTATTTCAAACGAAATAATTTATTCGTTTCAAAAAATGTAAGTAAACTGAAGGTCTATCGTCTACCGTTTCTGTTTTTTTTGCAGTGTAACATTTCAATCATATATGCAGTTTAGAAAATAAAATGAAGTCCTAAGGTTATTGATTCAATTTTATTTTTATATTGTGAGTTCAACAGTGTTGCGCATGCACGTAAACAAGTCATTTGATATGTTTGAACTACTACAAGTGTACCTTAGTCGGAAAACGAGAGCGTGGATCGAGGATCCGGCAAAACGACAAGCTACTCTAATCCAAATGTCCGATTGAGTAAAAGAAAAAGACTTGATATGAAGTAAAACCTGTATTCTGCAAGCATCCAGAAAGTACGAGGTCCGAGTCCAGAAGAGAATCAGGATCCCAGACTAGAGTTCCAGGTCCGTGTCCGGGTCATAAAAAGTTACAGATAATGAGTATTTAAACAGTTAGGTCGAATAGGAAACAACATTGAAGTCTATGATATACATAGCTAGCACGACCATAACATTGGCCAGTAGGAATCGATCAATAGAAGTAGACATACAAAAATAATTCTTTTAGGATAATTGATGAATATCCTAACAAACAGTCATCTAAGTGGGTGAAACTCAAAAACCGAGTTTAAAGTCAGTATTTCAAATATTCATTATGCTTCAAGTAGATTAATGTGCTAACTTTTCTGGTTCAGTTTACAACTGAATCTGTTTTTCATACAATGTATGAATCAAATATGAGTACAATGTGGTTATCAATTAATAGTTTATTAATTTATACTGAAAATATTACTGTTCTTGGTATGTAACACCGTAATCAGTTTACAATAAATTCTAAAATATTTAATTAATTGTGTCTGTTAGATTTTTTGCATACTTACTTTTAATTACGTCTGTTAACCCCGATGGAGCATAGGCTGCTGACCAGTATTCTCTAACCTACTCTGTCCTGGGCTTCCAGTTCTGTCCAATTGTTGTTCATTCTTTTCATGTCTGTCTCCGTTTTTCAACGTAATATGTTCCTTGGTCTTCTTCTTTTTTCTTTTGACCTGAGGGTAACTAGTGAAGATTTGTCTTGTGATGCAGTTGGGTGTTCTCTGCACAGTGTGTCCTATCGCAATGTATTAATTAATGTCAGTGATACTTTTGTTTCTCAGATTTCTTAAAATGTCGTGATTGCTGATTTCAGCTAAAAAAATCTGTTTATTTTTTCTAATGAACTAAGAGCAATAAAATTTCCAAATATTGTGCAGCATCGCCTGTGAAACATGTTCTATAAAGTGTACAAGTTCAAACATTTTTCTGTTATTTAGATTAAGTTTAGAGTGACATAACAGCTAAATGATCGACCTCCCAGGTTTTATTAAAATAATTTCCATAATGACCTTCATTAATTTCATGTACAACTTTGGAGTATGATTCTTACTCAAATTCTAAAATATTACATAAATAAACTTATAATTTATTCAGCTTCATTTAAAAATTGATTTTTATTTTTAACACTATAGGCATATCATCATGAAAGAAATCATAGATCAAAAAAGCTGGTTTGTTTATGTAGGGGACGTTAGATCCCCAGAACTCAGAAAAGGTTCTATTCTAAGATTTTTTGAGTTTTCGTGCATGGGCTGTTCAGTTAACCTTGAGATTACATTTCGCACTTGGAATATCCTTAACTGTCATTGGCTGACGCAGTATTTTAGTACGCTAGTTTCGTATCTCTCCCAAGGAAGTTTCTATCATGTATAAACAAACTCGATTTGTGTACTTGTCGACCTCGTATTTTCTGGGTGCTTATACAATACACTCTCTAGACCTTATCAAAACTTCTTGTTCTAGTTAGCCGGGCGCGGACAAACGCATTAGAATAGCCTATCGTGTCACGGCATCGTTTGTCTTCCTTCGTTTACCGACTAAGGGGAACTCGTAATAGTTTTAAGAATATCAATTGATGAGCATATTAGTTTACTTTTAAAAAAAATATTTAGTTTGATATCTTCAATATTAATTCATTCTATTCTATTTCTTGTTTTTTTTCTACTGATAATCATTTTACAGGTTTTATGGAATAAATTAGGCTTGGATTATCCATTAACCATTGGTAGAAATCGTTTTATACCAGATAAACGATTTCAAATCCAACATAAACCACCAAATCGTTGGAATCTTATCATTTCCAATGCTCAGTTAAATGATACAGGTGTTTATTCATGCAGTCCCGGTGCTGGTATCAAAGATAATCATGCAAGTGTTGATAAGAAATCCGATTTGAAACAATATCACGAATATCAAATGCAGTCTGAGAAGAAGAAGAAGAATAATTATAAAACACATACGACAATAACCGATACTACAACATTAAGGACAACAACAACATCACCAAGAAAGCCAAATAAAGGAAGAGAATATTATGTTTCTGTTGGTGAGTCGGCTTGGAAAATATGGTATTTTTAAAATTTCGTTTAATAATTACATTGTATAGTAAATTATTTACTAAATTATAATTCTCCCCGGAAGTTATACTGTAGTGAACGAGAACACAGGTCGGGCAGCCGAACTGTATTTAGCGAAATTACAGAGTTACTCAGTAAAATTGGAAAACCATATCGTAAATCGTTCATTTGCAAAATATCAGTTCATCATATCGAACTGAACTTTTCCTGCTGCAAAACATAAATCCAATGTCACTGTTCATGCGTTTCATACAAATTCCATTGTGTTTTAACTCTTCCTTTCTTGATCTTCCCCCATATTATGCTGCCAGACATTACGTTTACACTCACATCATATACTACTTATAAGTAGCTCACACCACAATACAATCACTAATTTTCTATTAGAGTTATGCAGATTAGTGTTTTTGCACATTTGAAATCACGAATCAATTGTTGTTAGACCACCATTAAAAACCTGGAAGAACTGAAAGACGACCATTTCGTCCTGGTATGGGACTCATCAGCGGTGCTCATCCACGACTCCAGCATCTCGCAGGATTCGAACACGGGACCTTAGATAACGCCTGACCTCTGGACCACTGGGTCGGCATCACTAATGCCTGTCAGCATACAAGGAATCTGATTATATCAGGTTTCCATTACAATACATTTCTGTAAACACGTTGCTCATTGTATCGAACTTATTATTATAGACAATGAATTATGTCTGTTAGGAATCCACTGCTACGGAATGAAAATAACTGAAATGGTGAATATCATAAATCATATGTTACATGTAAACGATTATTTCAGCATCTTTATCCTCATAAAAAATTGTAAATTTAAAATTCGAAATTGTGTTCCAAAATATCAGATTACACGATTGTTCTCAAAATCTCAGATTTACACTGCGATGACTGGCGCAGGTGCATCCACTCTTTGTGTTCTGTGAAATTTTAAGCTTCTGTATCCCTCATAATCTCTACCTTCCTCCTTCTAAATTTATCTTACTAAATTATACTTTTCGAATCATATCTTCGCTCCCTAATCTTCTCGATTACTGCTGATACTTCGACTACCTGGCTACTACTACTGAATTTGAACTGACAGTTGCGTCTCTGTGCTGATGGGGCATGGCAACCTGAACTGATGTACTCATATACGAAGTTCTGCATTGTATCTGTCTGTCTATGACTGGCATTTGGAGAAAAAGATGAAAAAGTTGTATCGTAGAGAAGTCAAAATATATATTCGTTTCATATCCTGCTAAATTTAAAACAAAATCCACTTTTCTTATTCGGGCAATAAGAGTTTGAAAGTTTGTTTCTAGTAAGAACTTATGACTATATTTTTATTGATCAAATGGACATGGAATATAAATACCGGATGTTTCGATCAATATCATTTCTCAAACATTCACACTAAGTTGTTTGGTAATTTTTCCAATCACAATTTAAATTATTTTAGAGATTAACAGAGAAGAGTACATAAAAAATAATTGAGAAGCGAATGACTCTTACAACACCTAAGGGTATAAATATCACTGAAGTATATGATCTGAAAATGTGATTCTAGTTGTGTTTTTTTTTAATTTCATTTAAAGACTAACAAGTAGACGAAGACTTATATTGTCGAATTATTTATTCTGTGTAAATAAGACGCTTTTTAAGTCACATGAACATTTAGGATGTCCTCTATTATTTGACTATGTTATCGTTTATTATGCTCTGAGCTGAATGAATATTCTTAATTTCTATCTTTAAAGTGATCTAAGCTATTTACTTGGAAGAATATTCGTTCCCATAAAGACACAATCAGATAAATGATTGATTTTATCTATACAGTTGAAAGTTTAGAGATGTCAAAAAGTAAATTCACCAAATATAGCATATATTTTGAACACCGTACTTGTTGACGCTAAAATGTTGATAATATAAGTACATTTTTTCATTGATACTGCTTTCAATAAACTTAAGTTTTTACACATTTGAAATCATCAATCAATCAATGTTAGACCACCATTAGAAACCTGGAAGCACTGAAAGATGGCCGTTTCGTCCTGGTATGTGCTCACTAGCGACTAGCTTCGTGAAGAAATTCTCGGAGTTCTAGTCGAGAAGACGTGATCAGTGGAGTTCAACCCTGTTGGGTGTAGGCAGTAGCTACCAAAGACAAAAGGGTGAGGTCACGCAAAACCCCTAGATCAATCAGAGTTAGACATTAACACCGTTGGATGCCGACCCAGTGGTCCGATGGTTAGGCGTTCGCGCACAATACTGAAAGTCACTGGTTCGAATCCTGCAAGTTGCAGTAGTTGCGGATGCGTACTGCTGATGAGTCCCATACCAGGACGAAGCGGCCGTCCAGTGCTTCCAGGTTTCTAATGGTGGTCCAACAATGATTGATTGATAATTTCAAATGTGTAAAAACACAAACCTCCAAAACTCTACCCCAAAATACTACCAGTACACCTGTCTTCCTGCTATCAACTTGTACTTTTGCCTGTGATGTGTAGTGATGTGATCTATATTTCATTTCATTGTGATTATTGACTCACAAATTGCCTTGATTGGTTAAACATTTTCATATATATAAATATTTATATATATTAGAGAGTAAAGCAGCCTGATGACGATCTAATCGAAAACAACAATATTGTTCGCGTATATGCGTGTTGTTCTAATTTTTCACAATGGGAATCTTTCATATTCTGAAAATAAAAAAAATCAAAGTTTTAACTGATAATAAAATCATCAGTTAGTGACATTTTTATTTGATAACTATTAAATTTCTATAGAAATTTGAGTCAATTCATTTTAATAATTGACGGTAAATTTGAGCATATAGTAACGATAATACACTTAAATAACTACAATAAGTTTATGGACGAATTGATGAGCGATGGTTAAAATTATTATTATTATTATTATTGTTTTACATCAAATTGACCAGGAAAAATTATTTTTATCAGATACTGAATTAAAAAAAGAGCTGAAAATGAGGTGTGTTGACATTAGTTTGCAATTAACAGTTTCCTTACAAGTTAGAAGAATGAATTTTATGAAGTAATTTCTGTGAGGCAGTAAAATAAAATATAATTTTTTCTATTGAATACTGATGTTTTGAATGTAAAAAAGCCATCACACTCTGATTAAATTACTAGGAGATAAACATTTGACTGTAAACATCAATCTGGTTTTTGCAAAACCGAATTCACTGTAATAAAAACTTTCAATATATATGAAAATTATGTGTAATTAAAATTTTGTAGCTGTTAAAAGAGAATTTTTTTTTCTTAATTTTTTCTGTTTTAATTTAATTTTTCTTTTTTGATAATTTAAAGCATGAAATATGAAACAAATTCATTGACATAAAAATTATTATTTGGTTTGATTGTGTTTAGTAGAGGAGGAATATTTGATAAATACACACAGCTGGTTGGCTTTACGCCAGAATAGAAAACAAAAACACCTAAAGTTTAGTGCGTCATTGTTTTCAATGGTTCAAGATTGAAAATTATGAAACTTCGATAGTGTACACGAAAAAAAAAAGATTGTACTTAAAGAAATTTTCTGTTCTGTCCGTCATACGGACAATTGGATTCAAACAAAATTAAATTAAACTGACTTTGAAGTAAATTTTAGTTTTCAGTTAGAGTTTTGGAGATTTGTGTTTTTACACATTTGAAATTATCAATCATTCATTGGTAGATACCGCA